GGGGGGGCTGGGGGGGGGGGGTGGTGCTGTAGGGACTGTGTAAGATTTACAATGAGCTATGGTGAACTTAATATTAACTTTGTGGTTCCTAAAACTCTCCTGGGTTGCACGTTTCCAGTACACTGCAGCGAGTATAATTATTTTAACCTTTTTTATCCAGCTGCAAACTGCAGCAGCCCAAGCTCTGGCTCTCTTTAGCATGTTCATTGCTTCCCCAACAGGATCTCTCTTCCTTTAAATACTTTGCCCTGCCCATAGAGTCCTTTGCAAGGGTCCCGGTGCCAGTCTGGTGACTTTTCTGCTCCCCAGTACCAGGGTGAGGTGCAGATTTCAGTGCTGTGAAATGCACGGCATCCTTCTGTGTTGAAGGTACACAGGGGAAAAAAAATTAAAGGTTTTCACTAAAGGAAGCTGATCTAGGTATTTTTGGTCCATTCCTGATTAAGGGCAAGGTTTTTCACCTTTTCCATAATGAAATTAAGGCTCGTATTTTAAACTTTTACATAAATCACATCAACTTAAACCAAGCTGGCTCTCTCTCCAGGTCCAGGGCTGCATACCTGCCGGCCTTCCCGTGCCACCGTGCCCAAGGAAGTGGTTCCCAACGAGACCCAGCAGTAAGCGTAGGTAGATGTGCAATTGCCCATAAAAAGATAAGGGAGCCCCTGCGCCGTTTCGCCGCCCCTGCTGACAGTGAGGAGGTTGCGGGGTTACAACAACCAGACAAAAGTGATGTGCCCTCCCTCCCGTCGGGTCAGGCAGCCCGGCTCTGCTCTCCGGCGTGGGTCTGTGTTTACAGACACTTGCCTCTGTTTATAACACTTGGAGAGAAGAATCTGCCCCCTTGTTTGCTTTTCCTTGCCTATTAGTTGCCCAGTTGATGAACTGGAGCTTCTCGCACTCTGCGTTCACTACTCAAATAATTTTTATTTTTTTTTGTAGCGGCACAGGGAAAAATAAAAAGGGTGAGGGGTGGCTGCGAATGCTGCGGTGGAGCACATCATGGGCAGCCTCTCTGCAGAAGTCCTGTCTTCCCTCGACCGAGTCACCGGGTTGCAACTCCTCCGGGAGATGCGCGGTAGGGCCCACGGGCGGCTCCGATATCCAGTGTCCGAATAGCCTGTCCAATATTTCCCCATGAGTAATTTTCCGGTTTTGTAACGTCAGTTTATCAGAACCGAAAGCCCCTGTGAATACGCTAAGGAGGATCTCTTTTAATTGCTCACTAACGAGGATGTTGCTATTTTCTCAGGAGCAGCCATTCCCGCATCTAAATCACAGGAGCCCTAGACAGACCGGAGCCGACAAAAATGTAGGTTTTGACGTTAAAAGCTAAATGGGGAAGCAGAAGGTAAATTGATGGTAGATGGGGATGTCAGTGCCCTGGCCTCAGCTCTCCGCCGGCGGAGCCAGGGCCTGATAACAGCAGAGCGCTGCGCTCCGCATCCTGCCCGCACCCGGAGGCATCGGCATCCCGTCCATCTGCCCTGTAATTCCTCGGGCCAAAACATTTTTGGGAGCTTCTACCAAGGTTAAAGGCATGTAAGAGTAGGGATAGCAGCCTTTCCCACTCTGCAACTTTTCTCTATGGGTGCAGGGAGGAAGAGAGAAGGGAGGGCAGGGCGGAGAGCAGCCGGGTCGCTGAAGCCCTGTCCCCTCAGATTGAGTCACGGATCTGTGTTTTAGGCTTGTAGCCTCCTTTCATGGCTAAGGGAGTGAGACCCCCTGCTCTCTCTCAAGAGAACACAACATTTTAATTTTTTTTATCCTCTTGAAAAGGAAGACCGACAAAACTCCCCCGGGTGACGTCCCGCCTCCCCTTCCCTCCCAAGGAGCGGCCCCTCGGTTCCCCGGGGTGCGGGCCCGGCTGCACGCCCGAAACAGCGGGGACCTCCCCAGCGGCTGCGTGTCCCCTGGGGGGCCCGAGGCATACAGCAGAGCGGATTTTTAGAGCTAGTCCGGATTTTGGAAAGCCGGGACGCAGCGAGGGGGCGGCTCTGCGCTCCGCTGCTGGCAGCGAGCCTATCAGCCGCTGGCAGTACTGAGTTTTGGGGCACTCTGCAGCATGCAGGACCTCGTTGCTATCGGATGTGTATGCCATGCCTGCACTCCGGCAAGCAAAAGAGATAAAAATGTGGCGGGGCCTTTTTTTCTTTGTTTTGCTTTGTTTTGTGGTCGGGGGTTTTTTGGAGGTTTTTTGGGTTTGTTTGTTGTTTTTTTTCACACATACTCCCCCTCTCCCCCGTGGTTCCCAGGAGCTCTTCTTTGCCCCAAAAGATTATTGCAATAATTATTTCTCGTTTGATATCGTTGTCAAAGAGGTGCAGCGGGGCCTCTCGGCCAAGCCAAAGACACCCCCAGAACAAGCGTCGGGCCATATGTGGGGTATAAACAGGACTGAGGGATGCCGTGGAGACAGCATGAACTTGAAAGATGGGAAAGGAGGTGGGGAGAGAAGTTCAATAATAAAGCCTCTAAGCAAAATATCCTCCTTTTGCGCTTGGAAACCTAACCTTAATCCTCCTTTTTCACACGTACTCGCCCAGCGACTCACAAATACCCCCAGAAGAAATCTCCAAGTAGCGATGGGAAGGAAACGCATTCCGCACGCCTACAGACATAATCCCCTCTGCTGTAACGAGGGGCTTATCAATGTTTTATATATTTTTAATTTGGGATTATTTTTTTTTCTGCGCGCCACGAAATATGTGCCTTTGCAAACCAGTTCCGATCTTTTCTATTTCTAATTGGCCCATTACTGTTCAGCTGTTTCAGCTTGTCACCTACAATGGAGAGTAAAGCAGAGTCTGAATAATATATTCACATAAATTCTAGCAAAGCCGGGCGATGCACGAGGCCAGCGGATTTCTGAGGTTCCCTGTGTCTCCCTCTTCCCCTTCCAAACCAGCGTGGTGTGTGTCTCTCTCTTCCTCGGTTTTCCCTCCCCCAACCCCATTTTCCTCTAGAAACACCATTGCTTTGATGATGCGATTTTAGAGCATTGATTACAAATTTATTCTCAGACACTATATAAGTCTTTATATCTGCTATTAGAGACATCTGGGAATGATTAGAGCCGTCCCTCCCCCGGCTCTGCTCCCTCTATCTTGCAGCGAGGAGCTAGAGACATGTTGACGTCAGATCAGACGGCTCGGAGCCATCCTGCTCTCCACTTGGGTGTAATCACGGCGACGCTTTCCAAGCCCCGGCCCGGCAGCGGCCGCCAGCTGGGATGCGGGTGCAGTGGGAAGCGGCACTCCAGCCCCGGGGCTCCTCGGTACAGCCCGGTTTTGAACTCCGGAGGCTCCGGCTCTTCTGAGTTTGCCGCCGAGGTTGTTTGTTTATTCGTCTGTTTGGGACTTGGAGAAAGCAAAAGCGGTGCATTCCGCGGGCGGGGTTACTCCCCCCAGCCCCCGGCCCAGCGCTTGCTTTATCTCTGTCCGATTTCTCCCGGCGCATTCGCTCACAGCGTTGTCTTCCAAAATAAATATCGAGCCAGGCATATTTCCACCTTATGTCTTGGCAAGGAGAAATTAGCCAAAGTGCGACGCTTACGTGCGGGCAGTCGCAGGCGTGCTGACACCCCGTTATCCAAAGTGGTAGTCGGGTTTAGAACGTGCCGGGAGAGCTGGGGGTTGCTGTAAAACAAGACGATTCCCTACCCAAACGGCAGTGCTGCTGGCAAGGAGATGGCTTTGCACCTGCTATTAAATCCTAATGAGTCGCCTCTAATTGAGAGCTGGGGCTGACTGACGGTAAGGCAGAACAGCCAGCATGGAAGCCTTGGCTCAGCAGGACCCAAAACCACGTTTGATAAGCTTATTTTGACAAACCTTTTACTTCACAATTTTCTTTTTTTTTTATGTTTCGTATCACTCTATTTTTTCCCCCAAGGAGGTAAAAGAATAATAATTGAATAAATACAACTTAATCCTCCGCTGGCTGTTCGCAGTCTTGGACGGCTGACACTTGTCCAGCTGTACATTACAATCGGTGCTACTACCAGGAAGGAGGGGCGGGGGGGTGGATGAGAAAGCAGTTGATCTCGTCTCCAGAGGAAAAAGATAATGTTAGACAATTTATCTGAAGGATTAAATTCTCGCGGTAAAATACGCTTGCCAGGAAGAGGGAGAAAAGAAAAACAAAGCCCTGTGTGACCCTAAAAATAAATTAAAAAATACTTCCATTTCTTTGTTCCAGCAGAATAAAATAAAATAAACCCCCTAAGATACCGCAACGTTCCTCTGTGTCTATCTGTAATCTCGAAAGGAAAAGGAACATTTCCTTTCTGAATCAGTGCAAACGGTATGCTATGAGCTCGGCTTCCCACCACAGCCACCGACCCAGGGGGTCGGGCGGGAGTAAGTGAATTTTTTAAAAGCTGTTAAAGTAAAAGGAAAAAAAATAAATAAAAGCTGCAAAATGAGCCCTAACAAAACAAAACCAAAAACAACCCAACAACAACGAAAAAAACCACAACAAAAAACCCAAAACCCAAACTAAACAATAACAACAACAACAA